TGAACAGTGTTGGGTAGAGAAGGCAGCTCTGTCAGACTCCTACTGTTGCTCGGAACCCGCTTCCCATTTGACCGTTTAGCGTGACAGCACTGTTAGCTCCTGGATAAGGTTTTCCTGTACCACATATGAGGGTTTCACCCATATTTTACTTTTCATAGTATCTACAATGAGAGTGCTGCATGCCATACTCTACCAAAGGTCTTTTTGAAATAAATGATAAACACATGGCACAGATGCTTTTGTTGCTGGTGGTATAGTTCTGACTATATGCGTTGATTATTTAATTTGTTAAACCGTGCTTCTCTAATTACGGAAACCTGTCTGCTCCTACGTTATAATTCCTTCTGCTTGCGGCTTCAGTTTGTTTAGGGGAACATGGAGCATGACTTTACTGAGGTGACTGATGAGACTTATGGTCCTATAATTTTAACATTATTGTAAACACCCCCCCCCCTTTTTTTTTCCCAAAATTGGGGTTAGAAAGGGGGGGGGGAGGTGTTGATTATGATGAGTGAGTTGGTCCAAAGAAATGGCCATTCACTAGTCTCCTATTTTCAAAGGATCATTTTGAAGATTGATTTTGATCTGTTTCCCTTATGGACGTCGGTAAGATGCTGTCGATTGGAAAGCTATTGAAAAATACAGAAAGACAGTTAAATTAGTTCTAGAATATATCACGGGAAGTAATGGCTGCCGTTGTAATATGGACTACTTATTCATCGTATCCTGCCTGGTCCATAACAAAATGGTGTGTCCAAATGCGCCAAAGTTGCGAGGGGAAAAAAACGTCTTTGACTTTTTTGTCCTAATGGAAGACAGCATAGCCGTAGTGCTGATCACATAGCTTCTGATATACTCTTTGATCATATACAACGTGGGCCTAAAGCAATGCACTCTGTATATTCATAGAATGCAAACATGCTTCACTTTTGCTTCTTCCTCTAGTATTGTACGACAAATTCGGTTCAATAGTATTATCTGCTTACTAATTGCGAAATACAGAACAAAAGAAGCTATTTTCAGTTTTACGAATAGACTCCACAGAATAGCGATGTTTGAGAAATAGGCAGACACGCAAGTTCGCTCGCGCGCGCGCACACACACACGCATATATATATATATATATATATGCAGGCAGAGAATTTCCGGTATTGCAATATAAGGCTTGATCGATGGTTTACCACAGTTTTGCATATTTCTGCTGCCAGAAACTGGTAAATGTATCTACACATTGCTATCTCTAATGACAAAGATAACGGGATCAGTCATCCATAGTTGTAAAAAAAAAAATAGCTTGTCGCGTGCCAAGTAAATGGCCCTTTCTCATCAAACTGATTGTAAGGTTTTATATTTTTTTAAACGAGCAAATGGTAAATACTACACTAGCCGCCTTTACATCCCACAACAGTCTCTGGTACATATTTGACTCTGGGAGCTAAGGTCAATCACGGCTAGGAGGCTGTGGGTCAGTTTAGCAACAACATCCAGTCGCCGTGGATTCGAATATCGACCATACACATTTGGGCTTGCTTAACGCGCTACCTTGGATCCATTAACTAGTATAAGAGATCTGTGATTGTACTTGAACCGTGATGTCAAGCTGACTACAACTCCCAACATTTTCAGCCGAGTTAAATAAAGCAGCACGTCTCTCCCGATTTCCATGACATAAGCAAAAAAAGGGCATATTTATAGTAGCTGATTAACCCTGGGCATCCCAGAATGCAGCTGTCTGCGTCTTTGTTGTCGTGGGTGACAAGCAGAAGGAAGTGGGGCCGGGGCTAGAACCGTCCATCCATCCTATCCTATCACTGAGCGACAAGTATCTTCTCTCTGGCTGACATTTACCACGGCCCTGTCTCCGAGAGAACACAACTAAACACCTAGCTCATGATTTATAGGTAACGCTTTGATAAACAGGACTGTCTCGTGTTTTTGTGAGTTGAGATATGTTTAGGAGTTTGTAATTAGAAATCGTGATCGAACGAAGCTAGACTAGTAGAAGTAGTGATTTCAATTTTCCTGCCGCGCTGACCGTGGCCAGTTCCGTAGGAAAAATAAAACTACTTGTTCAAGAATTAAATTGTGGAGAACAGTTTGAATATACTTTTTAGTGTAGCTTATTTGTATGTTGAAATGGATTGTGAAAAGAATATTTGATATTGTAGAATTATTGAGTTTGATTGTCGGAAAGATTTTTTCGATAGCAGACGACTGTCCGGTGTTGGGCTAATTTGTGTCCTGTTTGAAAGCGGGCCATAGACTATCTGTCGTCTTACGGTAACAGAAATACATGTTTATAATTTTTCAAAGACCATATTTCATATAAATTACCAGTTGTAGTAAAAAATAGTTCATCAAAAGCCGTAGTTTCGTTCATAGAGCATGTCTGTTGTAGGCCGCAGTGGGTTGCCAGTTATAGTAGTCCTTTGTTATGAAAAAAAATCACCACCGGAAACTTGCCTGTTTCCCTCGTCAGATCGCCATCTTGCCTGCTCACTGACTGGTGGTGGTTGAATTATTTGCTTTGTTGAGTGCGACGAAGGCTATCTCGTCGTGTTTATACATTGTTCAGGTTGTTGTACATGTTTCGTTTGTATTTTATATGGATGAGAATGAAAACACGTTGTGGTATATAAGAATAGTTGAGTTTGTTGAAGGGACTAGGACTAGCGGGAGGTAGGACTGACTAGGAGTGAGTTAGTCAATGACTCGAATAATTTAATTCACTCATTACATTTAGTGTAAATGATTTGATTTACACTAAGAGATGCAAACATGTCTGAGCTTTCTTATTCACCCCCTCCCCCACAAAATTGAATCCATTAAAACAATTCTTAAGAACGTTTGTTACACTAATGTAATGCTTTTAGAGGAATAAAGTCAAATATTAGTATGATATTACCACCCCAAATAAAAAAAAAAAGTGTTTCTGTGACTAGACTTAGACTAGAGCCCTAAAACTGAAACATAGAAATGAGTTATGTAAATCAAATCTGCAAATAAAATAAGTAAAAGCAGTAGGAAATGTTCTTGCTTCTTATGTTTGCCTTTGTGAGGATTTGTCTTTTGAATTTAACCAAGCAATAATGAATACTGAAGTGACCTTTTTAAAGATAGGAAGAGGCTTTGTTAATCCTTCAACTCTTTGAGTCCCAGGGAATGCATCATATGTTCATAGGTTCTTACCTAGAAGCCCAATGAACACATGATGCGCAGATTTTTACATCTCTCTTTACTACCCATTAGGCCTGTGATGCTAAACCCCCTGGGACTCAGAGTTTAAAAAAACTATAAATAATAATAATGTGTAATTAAATTATTGATGTATTTTTATCTCCTAAATTTGCGTCTAGGAACGATCCCATTAATTTAAATTTAAGGAGGGCATAGCATAGTCTACAGACTTCTTAAGTCTTGACACATAACTTTCATTCTTCAAAACAGTCTGTTTCTGTTACCTTCTGTAGCCTTTGTCATTACAGTTAAGGGAAAAAAAACCACTTATATTTTAAATGAAATTAGCTTCTTTATCTACATTCTCAGTCTCAGTCAAATCAGTATAGCAGAGCTATATTCAGCTCAGTTTACTTAGTGACCAAATGGAGATTGCCATGGGCCAGAGTCCCGTTATAGAAAGATCACTGACATTGTCATCAAAGAGTTGGCAGTGATCTGGAGACCACTTGCTAGGCGTCCGCGGGCCAGATTGGGACTGCCAGTTGAATAGCCCTGCAGTAAAGCATCCCAAATTGAGGACAATAAGTGCAACAAACTACTTTTTTGCAGATGACAAAGTCCTCATGCAACTGCAGTGGAACAGCTGCAGCGATACCTGAATAATCTCAACATGGCAGCAAAAGCTCAAGAAAAACATGAAAATTAACATTGATAGAAAACAAAAAACCAAGTTACGACACTTGCAAGAACAGAAGAACCAATCAAGATGTGCATAGAAAACCAACCCAAGCAAGCAAAAGTATCTAGGGAGCATATCATCCAATAGAACCATCAAAGCGTAGGTAGATCACAGATGTAATAAAGTAATAAAGCAAATCAAATCATTTGACTAAGGTTACCATTTTTGCTTTACAAACATGTAACAAGTGACACGAAAAGAAAACTTTTTTAAAACCGTTTTGAGTGCCAAGCGTGGACTAATATTTAACCAACAAGAGACAGGATCAGAAATATCAGGAAAGAAGTTGGGATGGAACCCTTATTGAATTACATCAAGAGATAACAGATCACATGGTGTGGACATGTGTTAAGCCTACCACCACCAGATAATGCATCCCAGAGAGTCCTGTCACTTAGACATAACGGAGGTAAAGTCAGAAGTCAACCATACAAGCGATGGATAGATGGAATATCCAAGGCTGTTAATACCAGCACCTGTGTTAGCACATACCAAAGCTCTCATCTGATGCCTCTTCAAAACCTGAAGCTCAAAGACACTGCAGGATTTGAGGAGAGGGGGAGAAGAAGATCTTTGCAAGTTCTTAACCAACTTAAATCTTTTGGACACCCTAGAGCAGACGTTGTGGATCATGACCCACGACTTGCTGTCTTGTCATATTTTACCAAAGTTGATGTTGTGTACATTTTGTGTGTGTTAAAGTTTTTCAGATTTTTCTTCCTCTATGGTTTGTTCTGTTCCCACATGTGTGGATGATTTCTCCTATATGGAGACGATATTTGGCAGCAGACCATGAAGAACTCTTATCATCATTGTCGCTTAACACAGTGTTTTTGGGTCACAAGTTGCTGTTGCCTGTCTGATGAGCTTCCTACACCTTTGACGGTCATATGCATTGGACTTTATGGTTGCCTGCCTAAGGCCTGTCCAGTCATTCAAGTCTTTGACTATCTCTTTCCCTCTGCTGAGCCTTTAAGTATTGTTTTTGAGAGGCTTTTAGATCTTATTACTTGTCCACATCATTGCCTTTTGCATCTTTTCACTGGGGAATTCTAAAATGTATTTATTTTGTAATGAACAGATGTCCTGTAGTAACAGGTCTCCTCCTGTGAAACGAGCCCGCATTGACACCAACTGCAGTGATAACAGTTCACAGGACACCAAGTCTGCTAGCAATACTGAAGATGTAAGATCTGTTAATCCTTTTTCTTTACTGTCATAGGGTTATACATGCCCCTTATGGTGAGTCTGACTGAGGTGTGATTTAATAACCTTCCTTAAAAACAAAACAGAATACTGTGCCATTTCCATAGTAAAGGTTGCCTACAGTACACCCACTGCTGTTTTGTTGATAATGCTGACAGCCAGAATAGGTAATTGCTGTAAGAGGCACCGTGTAATTTATTTGTAGACGTTGGAAGAGCAGTCCAATGTCATTAGAAAAGAGGAACGAACAAACTGTATTTTCCAAGGGTTCGAAATTGGGCACGTTAGTTGCAAGCACTCATCGTTCAGACCACAATTGCATGTTATCAGTAATGAATGTTATGACTATATAAAAATATACATAATGAAATAATGCATACACATATCATATATATACAGTCATACACACAAACACATTCTTTTACATACTCAGAAACAAACACACTGATACATACATGCATGCATACACCTACATACATAAACCTACTTGCTTTCGTACATACATGGAACTGGGACAAGACCAGAGTCTGGAAGTGGATGAACAACCAGGACTTTTTGTAGGAGTGTACATTTGGTGAATGTGAAGATGTAGATTGATACCTTATTTACCTCTTGATCTAGTTAGAATATGATGAAATAAAACAGGCCATGTCTGAATTGCTAGTAGGATATCTTCTGATAGAGACTTGTTTTATTCCTGTATATGTGTGTAATGTTTTGATACTTTTACTTTTATCAGACCTTTTGCATGTATTATTAAATTAAAGTCTATGCCTTGTGGCATTGGCCCTCATGTGTGCCTGGTCTTTTGTGTTGTTCTGCAACTGATTTCTGATACCAGTGTCAGACTTTTTAGCAATTCTCTCCTGGTCTTTTCTCTCCCAATAATTCATCATCAAGGTTAGTTTTCTCTCCCCGGTATATTTGGTAATTTGTCTGCTAAAGGCATCTACAAAACAGAATTCCTGTTCAGGTGTTCTGTAGAATCCTTCAGCTGAATGTGACCTCTAGTCAAAATAAGCACTCAGTTTATGTAATCTAAAACAATAGTAGCCTGTTTTGTCACTAAATGTGTGGATTCTTGGGAGATAAGTTGATGCTACAAATAATTTTCAGGATATGCTGATTTTACTCCCAGATAATCCTAATTACATTGTTGTAATTGTAATTAATTTTATAAAAAGTAATACTAAATGTGGTTGAATGCTTTTGTAGTTTTTATATGTCCTCATATTGATTCTGGGGTCCCATTTGGGGGAGGGAGGGAATCCTGCCTCCTACCAGTAGAAAAGGCAGTTAATTAGGGTTTCTCCCATTTAAAATCAGTGCATATGCCTAAGAGAGGAGGAACCAATAGTCTGCACACAGACAGATCTTAAAGTGAATATGCAAGCAAAACTCAAGTTCTGGACAAGACTAAAGTTAAGAAGTGGACGAAGAATGCGGAACTTTCTGGTGGAGTTCAGACAGTGAATGCTAAGGAAAACTGTAATTTGTTTTAACTGTATTTAAAGTTGTGATAATAGGAATGACTGCATTGAACCTTTATTGTGCTGTTAGATGGAGGTGGTTACAAATGGAAATAATGAAGACATCGACGAAGGCCTTTACAGTAGACAGCTGTAAGTATATACATTGTTGTTATTTTACATGTCTGGTCCATAGAACAGCTGTTTTGTAGATCATTTGTGTATATTGGCAGTTTTCAATATTTCACAATACGGTGGAGTTGTTTGATTTGCTGTTATTTGAAGGGCAAAGCTCATCACTTACAACACATTAAATAGTTATGTGAATGATCATTGGTTGGAAGAATTGAATTTGAGATAGGCCTTAAAACAGATATGCACGCAAAGCTCCGATTCTGGAACAAGACCAAAGTCCACAACTGGCAGAACAACCAGAACTTTCCGATGGATTTTACAGCTGGTGATTGCGCAGAAGAAGATGGCCTTTCATGCCTGTGTTCGGACCATTTGCAAAGGAAGTTTTCATTCAGTCATCTTATCCTATATGTACAGTTCAAAATTTTTCACTGACGTATTTTCAGCTATGGGATTATCTTTCATAACAAGCATGTCTTAAGAGTCTACTAATTGGGGTCTTCCTTCAAAGTCGAAGTGCATCTGCCTGAGAAGCAAGGAACCAACAGTCTGCATACGATTGGCAACTCAGGTTCTAGAACTAGTCGAAAGTCAATAAGTGGATGAATTAACAGAACTTTGTCCCGGAGTTTACAGCCGGTGAAAAGATGACCTCTCATAACAAGTGTCCGTTACCTCTTTTGGTTAGGGCTGGGCAGGCCTACTTTGATTTCTCTGAATGATTATATGGATTGTCTGTGCCCTCGTTAATGTTGTTTCTCAGAGATTGTGTCGTTTTTCTTCTTCAGGTATGTGCTTGGTCATGATGCCATGCGCAAGATGGCCCACTCCAATGTCTTGGTCTCTGGGCTTGGAGGTTTGGGTGTAGAGATTGCCAAGAACCTGGCTTTGGGTGGCGTCAAGTCAGTCACTTTACATGACACTCAGAATGTCACCTGGCTTGATCTTTCCTCTCAGGTGAGACTTGTCAAAAACAGCCTTTAATTCAGTTCCCATTCCTCAAGATGTGGACATTACTTTTGTTTTTATGTTGTAGATAAATATGTATTAGTTTCCAGTGTGTGTCTCTGTACACACATCGATGCAATATGATTGCACTCTCGTACATACCAAATATTCATACACCCTACTGCACATTGAAAGGTGGCCACAAGGCACCCACTATTGTCTTTTGGAAAAGGGCATGGTGATTTGATCTCTTCCCAGGTGCAACTCTCCTACTAATGTGCAAAAAGCATTTTAAAAAAAACTTTCATGAACGACCTTAGTATTTGAAGATCATGACATTGCTAAACACATTCACTATAAGTCCTGTTCTGCCTTTTAGCCTCAGGTTTTGAGGAGGCATCAACTGCGAGCCCTGGTATGTGCTACGTAGATTCTGGTATTTACGGCCTCAGCTATTCCATCTATCCATCGCTTATGTGCTCGACCTATGGTTATGCTTCCATTTTTTGTCTAAGTGACAAGGCTCTCACCAGAAAGCTACCCACACATATGCCCTGCACAACCTTTAGAAATGAAACATTACAGAAGTTAATCTTGAAAATACTTTGAAAAGGGGCAGTGAAAATGCATTTTGACCTAACAGTATTTAATTAAAATGAGGGTTTTCTCATAATTTATAGCTTAAAGCTTTTTCTAGATGTTGATTTAATTATTTTTGCACATTTTGTTCAACAGTTTTATGTGAGAGAAAATGAAGTTGGTAAAAACCGAGCAGAGGTTAGTCTGCCACGTTTGACGGAGCTGAATCGATATGTACAAGTGTTTTCTAACACTGAGCCCTTAACAGAAGACTTTCTCCGGAAGTTTCAGGTGAGTCGGTCACATATCAGGCAACAGTCAGTGAAACATTTTCAGAATTGTAATATGAATAGTGTCCAGTTAATGTTCATTTGACTATCTTGAAAAACTGCATGGGATGTGACGTCTGAAATGTTACTTTCTAGAGTTGTTAATGTGTGTTAATTTTCCAGACCAGTAGACAGTACTGTCCTAAACCTTACTTTCTAGAGATGGTTATGTGTAGTCCTCTTCTTGTCCAATAAACAGTGAAGTTCTGAACCTTACTTCTCAGTGTGGTAGTGTAGACTGTCTTCCTATGAAATGGCAGTGATATTAACTCTTCAACATTAAAGTAGTGCTGATGTATCATAAACGTGAATAACAACTAAAAATAGTTCATAAATTAATGACTGAAAAAGAACTAAATTGAAGGCCAAACATTACCAGTATGAGAGAGAACTACAATTGTAGTGAATCAGATACGTCATTGACACTGATCAATCGCACACTGAGAAAATATAGTTGCACAGCTGGAATATTTCTCATCCAGAACCTGAAGAGAAACATAGAGGTTTTCACTTGTTTGGAACCACTTGCCACTTCTCACAGTATTCGATTGTGGCAATGTGGTTTCCGTCATGTGATGCTCCATGATGTAGAAAGTCGGGAGTTGTCCATGTGTGATGGAATAGGCTGGGAGAAATATCTTGCCTGAAGCATAGAAAAAAGTGTGCACTGTCAGGGATTGCCCTTGTGTAATGGAATAAGCTGGGAGAAATATCTTGCCTGAATCACAGACGAAAGTGTGCAGTGTCAGTGTATTTGGAAATGAACAGGCAGATAGGCTGGTTCTGCACCACTTGTTATGACAAGATGATGATGTAGGGGTAAAAGCGAGTAAAAAGTGCAGAGGCACAAATAGATCATCTGAAGAAAATGGTGCAGCAAAGAGGGCTGAGGGGATCTGGGCGATGCTGAGCACTGGGGGAGGGGAGACATATACATTCAGACTGCTACTTGTAACATAAGAATTATAACTTTTCACTGGCTGCTGAATATTGGGATGGAGCACTTATGGGAATGTCCTGGTTGCTGTGATGTCAGTTCTCAGCTAATAACTCATAACTATATGCCTTGGACTACAGCTGTTAAGGATACCCTGATATGTGAAATTAGATGGTTGGGGGTCTTTATACATGTTTAACATTGTCAGTAGATGGGTTTGCTACTGTTGAGGCACTGAAATTAGATGGGTGGGGGTCTTTATACATGTTAAACATTGTGTCAGTAGATGGGTTTGCTACTGTTGAGGCACTGAAATTAGATGGTTGGGGGTCTTTATACATGTTTAACATTGTCAGTAGATGGGTTTGCTACTGTTGAGGCACTGAAATTAGATGGTTGGGGGTCTTTATACATGTTAAACATTGTGTCAGTAGATGGGTTTGCTACTGTTGAGGCACTGAAATTAGATGGTTGGGGGTCTTTATACATGTTAAACATTGTGTCAGTAGATGGGTTTGCTACTGTGGAGGCACGACTAGCTAAATAAAGGTTACCCTTTTTATCTCTAGGTGGTGGTCTTAACAAATAGCAACCTGGAGGATCAGATACGCTTTGGCGAGTTCTGTCACAAGAATAACATCAAGCTTGTTGTAGCAACCACACATGGCTTGTTTGGGTAAGTTCCTGTCCTAATGTGTCAGCATATTTGTAGATCTTTGAACATTTATTTATTTGCTGCCCTTTTACTGCAGTAATAAATTTTACTTTTTTTGTTATCTATTAGGGTTTTTTATGTTTATGTTCATTTGACGGATCATCATGGCACATGGGTATAACCCATAAGTGTTCCGTTCTACTTTTAACTCAAGACTGAGTATGAAGAATCTCAGTGCAGTTCACGAACTACATTGCACCGGTGACGATCCTAAAATACTTTGAGTAGATTAACTCTAAATTTGGCCATGGCAGCGCCGTTAGACTACTCGTTTCGATTTGCAACTGCCACAGGACTTTTTTATGTGGACAATACACACACAGGTGTCCGGTCTTCCTACTTAGAGACCAGGGGAAATTACTAGAAGTCTACTTAAAAAAAAATCCTAGCCTTCGCCGGGGCTTGAACCCAGGACCTCCAGCATTTGAGGCAGACACCACTCAGCCCCCACCCCCCCCCCCCCCCCCCCCCACACTCCTCTTGGGGTGTGTTTAGCATGTGGTGTTAGGACAGCGAGGGCTTACGGCCAGGATTAAACTGGATGCTTTTATTTTCCCACAGTTTCCAGCTACCCATCTTACTTGATAAGGCTAAATATCAGCTCTATTGTCAAACCTAATTTCATTTTTATGCAAAGGACTTTCATTCATCTTGGTGACATAGGCTGAAGCCTGTTTCACAATGACATGTCTCAAACCCACAATTTACCAATCTCAGGCTAATCCAGCTGTTCTAAATCTTCACCAGGCTATATCCTAACCTCTTCCCCATCCTAGTCTTGTATACCCAGCTGGTTTTTGAGCATGGGAGTTTTGGGAGGGAAGACAAGCTCTGCAACAGCTACTGTTAAGTCGGTTTATGGTAATTAGAAAATAAGAAAAAAGTGTCTACACTAACTTTAACACATTTTTTCGCCTTGCAAGCTGACTTGATACTTGTGCATGAGATTTAAAGTCATTGTCTTCATGAGGATTCACTGCCAAACTGTCACTACTGCCTGTGTTTACCACTTGTGTGGTTTAGGCAGGGCTGCATTGCTACAACTGACTACACACACTGCAGGTAGTGATGCTATTTTTGCCTGGACAAACAAACATACACAACTGTACTGAGGATTCGAATGTGGGTGTCCTACATGAGAACCCATTGTTTAACAGTTATGCTGCAGCTCCTCCTCGGTTTTAATATGTCCCTGGTTTGTAAGATATTTTTAGGTAAAAGGGTAAACTATAAAGAATGATCAGGGGATCCGGCTGAAACCTAATACTCAGGGGAAAGGCTAGGCGGACATATAATCAGATTGCTGCTAGTATAATTGGATTGGGACTCTGCTGAAGATGTGGACAGAGTGCTTATAGGAGTGTCTCCTATGTTGTTGGTTCTCAGCTTAGCTCAACTGTGTGGTAAACATTCTACCATGTCCTATACTTGTAGCCTACTGTTAAAAGCCCATTATTTGTATCTCTTCTTGTAGTGCATGCTTGTAATATGTTGTTTCTACTCATTTTTCAGTCACATTTTCTGTGATTTTGGAGAGGGTTTTGTTGTAACAGATGTTGATGGGGAGCAGCCTCTCTCCTGTATGATCGCTGACATTGAAACGGTAAGCACACTCTTCAGTCTCTGTTATATTGTTGACGTTTAAAGGCTTAGCACATTTTTGTCTTTTATTCTGTTGGTTGCATGTATGATTGTTAACTTTGAAATGGTAAGCACCCACCAGTCTGTTATTACTGACTGTTACATATGTGATTGTTGCATGTGTGATTGCTGACATTGAAGTAAAAAATTCTGAGATCATGCATGATTTCTGTGGCAGCCTGTGGTTGTGAGTCATGAAATCTGTAGTCTTTGAAGGAAAAGATAGGCGCCTTTGAACTAAAATGCTACATCAAAATTCTTAGAAACGGTGACAGAAGAAGTAGAAGAAAAGAAAAACAGCATCTTACATAATTTGAACATCAACGAGAATTGGTTCATGAACAGCATCCTGTGCCAATAGCTGAGATATTTTGGCCATGTAAACGTCATAGTGCTGTGGAGAGCAGTGTGATGGATGGTCGGCCTCCATGAAGTGGACACAAGATGTTGAAGATGCATTATCTGTGAAAGCACATAGGGTTGGAGAATGTGCACGAAAAAGAGACTTTCAGTTGGTATGCGAAGAGAGCAGCGTTTAAAGGACCTGAGTGATGATGTGCTGGATGTGATATTTTTGTTTCAGAGTGAGCAGGGTGTTGTTGCGTGCCTTGATGAAACCCGCCATGGCTTCAATGATGGTGATTATGTGACTTTCTCAGAAGTTCAGGGCATGGTTGAACTCAATGGTTGTGAGCCAATCAAAATCAAGGTCATAGGTCAGTTTTGCTTTCTAATCTTTCAGTCATTGCTAAGAATTAAATTTAAATTGTACACATTTCTTGCATTTGAACAGCTACACTGAAATTTTTTGGGGGCCATATATTAGTCTTGATTTGTCAGTAACTAAAGTGTCACCTTTTGGAACTGTTTTGTGCTTGTTAAGAGGTGGTGTATCTGTATGTTGTTCTTCTTTGTCTTCTTTAAGCATTCACCAGCTGTTATCTCTGGTTGTTTCTCCACTTCTGGACTTGTTTTGCTCTAGGAATTGAGTTTTTCAGGTGTAGCTTATTTGTATGCAGACTGTTAGTTCCCTACCTCTCAGCCAGTTGCAGTCTGTTTCAATGGAAAGTCCCTTAATTAGTTGCCTTTTAGGACATGTTTATTAAGAGGCATACTCTTGTTGAATGTATCAGAGGGGAACATAGGTTTGTTCAGTTTAAATTCACCTTTTTCTGCATTCATGTTAAAAGGTTTGTTAGCGCACCATGTTGTGGTTTACAGCTAGGCTGTAATCTGTGTGCTTTCCAACCGAACACACTTGTCCAATTTCAGCTAGTTCTGAATTAGTTGACATCATTACGGGCCAGTGGACCTTTTCTTTCTCCCCTGCCCCCTCTCAAAATGGTACTCCAAAAACCTAAATGAAGATGATGGGTGTTCAGTTTAAAATAAAATGATTTATTTATTTTGGATTGGGTCCTAATCTGCTAGAGTAACTGTTTTTAATATATAAATCCAGTATGCATCTGTGCGCAGACACTGCTTCCACCCACACGAAGCAGCTACCCTGTTAAATTCCTGGGACTTATAAATGCCAGAAAAAAAGGGGGCACTTAACTCTGGACCAACTGCAGCAAACAGTACTTTTCATGAAAGCCATTGAGCTACCAAAACCATCAGCAGGTAAAGTAACAGTAAGTAGAAGGTCCCTTTTGTATGCTTTGAGACATTGATTATGAGCTGCTTGCTTCATAATTTGGACACTTACATCCTCTTATGAACGTGAAATAGTGACAACAGAGATAAAATGCCTTAGAAGAGATGCAGGAGTTTAAAGGAAAGACAATACAAAATCAGTCGAATGGTAGAAACACAGCCAGTCTTAAGTCATCAAAGAACAACAAATGAAGTGGTTTGGACACCTAACAAGAATGCCCTGGTACTATCTGCCACAGCGAGCCACACTTAAACATTACAAGGGTATAGAGTGAGCTTGAGACCTCGGAAAAGATGGAGTGATGACATTAAGAACAGAAATGAACATCAATCCTCATAGTGCTCTTGACAGAGCTCATCAACAAACATCTCCCCTCGACACATCACTGAAGTAGCGCAGTGCATGGGCTCCGTAGCACCAGCAAGGATCATGAAAATATTTTGGGTAGATTTTCAAATCCAAATTTTGCCCGGGTAGTGCGTTAAGCTACTCTTTTTGATTTCGAACGGCCAAGAAATTTTTTATGTGCGCAACAATACTCACGGGCGTCCGATCTCACTACCCAGAGACCAGGGCAAATAACTAGAAGTCAAATGTGAACAGAAAAAATCCCAGCATTCACCGGGGCTTGTACCCGGGACCTCTAGCACTCGAGGCGGACACCATGCCTCAAGACAACATAGCCCCCCTAAGAAGAAGCCCCATTATTAAACATTACGCCCATCTTCATTACTTGCCAGCATGTCTCCTGGTACACATTTGAGACTGAATCAGCATGGCACCCAGATACATTTTAATACATCCTTACCTCCAGGGGGTTTGAACCATCCCGCTGCTCAGGCATGCTTGTGAGTTAGCTACTGCGCCTATGTGGATCATCCTCATATAATAGATAGGTGAGAAAGATTTGTAACAGTTTCCTTAAATGCTGATTCTATGACTGACATCTTAAGTTTTGGTTTCAGGTCCATACACATTTAGCATAGGAGATACAACCAAGTTTTCACCTTATATTCAGGGAGGAGTTGTCACCCAAGTCAAAATGCCTAAAACTATGAACTTTGTAAGTATTGAAATCTTAGATAACTGGTTGACTTGCTGTGGCATCTTTAGCATTCTCAGCTATTGAGTGTCATTCATCTCTTTTGCCCTTCTCTTTTCAGTTGGTGACTCCAAGTGTTCATAAGTCTACCTCTATATTATCTCTCCACATTCTTGATCAGTGCTTTTTTGGGTGCAGTTTTTGTCTGTTTTCTGCCATCCTCTCTAAGTGCCCAACCATTTCAGTGTGTTAACCCTCATGATGCCTGCCAATAATTAGTGGTGATTTAAACAGAATATGAATTTTGATGTTGCTGTTCACTCATTATTTTCACCTGTTTACATCTTTGATGAGTTCAGCGATTCATCATAAGACTTCCAGGCTGAATCTGTAAAATGAGACACATATACACTTAATGTAATATCAGCTTTTTTTTCTTCACGGTTGGTAAATATATTTTGTAAAGTCATCATGCTTTGTTCCAAACATTGGTGTTACCCTTCCTTTAGAGTAAACAAGGTGAGAGAGGGAATCATGCTGCATTGGCAACACATGGTCTGTGCAGTACTGGCCAGGCTTTGTGCTGTTGAGTGGAGGCATGTCATCCCTGGCCTTGCCCTGGACTGCCATTCCTGTTCCTTCATGTAACACAGTATAACAGTATCGCATGAAAATAAGAAAAGTTGCCAATGTTTGTTCAGAGGTGATTAATTGTATTATGACAGCCAAGACTCCACTACATCTTGGTGCATTTCAGAAGAGTTGGGCAGTGGTGAAAACTTGGAACGCAATGTCTGGGTACTTTTACTGGTCGTGTGCCTATCTAGGAGCACTAAATTGTGTTAGTTTCCTGTTAAAATTTTGTCACACTAGCTGTCACTTTGGGAGCTGTGGTGGCCCAGCAGCTAGACATCCACCTGCTGACCCAAGGTCTTAGGTTCGGATCTGCATCAAGGTGATTTAAAAAAAAAAAACCTGACCTTTGCTCTTGGGGTGACTCAGCCTAACCTTAGTGAGGACCAGGTAATGTCCTGGGAAGTAAAGGTGATCAACATTTTGTTGACCAAATCACCAGTTGAGTGCCGTCTGGTCTATGAAAATATAGGACTAGCACCATATGCACCATGCATCACTGGCGTGAAAAAACGTCCTTTACCTCAACAACAGTCACTCTTTCTAGCACCAGGTGCACTGAGTTTACTCTTGAACCCAGAACTTTCCTGGTAGTGGGTGGATACGCTGAAGCTTGTCCATAGAGGCACCTAATTCAGAGATAAACTGTTTTGCCCTGATCTTAATAAATATTTGTGTACATAAAGACATGACCTTTCCTGTTTTTCCCCCCAGAAATCCATCAAACAGTCCCTGGAAGAGCCAGAGTTTTTGTTGACAGACTTTGGCAAGTTTGATAGACCTGCAGTGTTGCATATTGCCTTCCAGGCTTTGCATCATTTTCTCAGCAAGCATGGTCATCTGCCAAAACCTCGCTGCAAGGTACCACCCTTGTCATATATGTCTGTCCTGTGTGCCATAGTTATCAAGGGTAATTGTCCTGTGTGCTATAGTTATCTAGGGGAAGTGTCCTGTGTGCAATAGTTATCTAGGAGAAGTGTCCTGTGTGCCATAGTTATCTGTAGGAATTGTCCTGTGTGCCATAGTTATCTGTGGGAATTGTCCTGTGTGCTATAGTTATCTATGGAAATTGTCCTGTGTGCCATAGTTATCTGTAGGAATTGTCCTGTGTGCTATAGTTATCTGTGGGAATTGTCCTATGTGCTATAGTTATCTGTGGCAATTGTCCTGTGTGTCATAGTTATCTGTAGGAATTGTCCTGTGACCTATAGTTATCTGTGGGAATTGTCCTGTGTGCTGTAGTCTGTGGCAATTGTCCTGCATGCTATAGTTATCTAGGGTCCTATGTGCCATAGTTATCTATGGAAATTGTCCTGCGTGCTATAGTTATCTAGGGGAAGTGTCCTGTGTGCCATAGTTATCTAGGGGAAGTGTTCTATGTGTTACAGCTATCTAGGGTAAGTCTCCTGTGTGCCATAGTTATCTAGGGGAATTGTCCTATGTGTTACAGCTATCTAGGCTAAGTCTCCTGTGTGCCATAGTTATCTAGGGGAATTGTCCTATGTGTCATATTTATCTAGGGGAAGTGTCCTATGTGCCATATTTATCTAGGGGAAGTGTCCTATGTGCCATAGTTATTATCTAGAAGTGTCTTATTGGCCAGTTATTATCTTGGGGAAGTCTCCTGTGTGTCCTAGTTATCTAGGGGAAGTGTCCTGTGTGCCATAGTTTTCTAGGGGCAGTGTCTTATGTGTTATAGTTATCTAGGGGAGTGTCCTATGTGTTATAGTTATCTAGAAGTTTCCTGTGTGTTATAGTTATCTAGGGGCAGTGTCCTATGTTATAGTTATCTAGGGAAATGTCCTGCGTGTTAAAGTTATCTAGGGGCAGTGTCCTATGTGTTATAGTTATCTAGAAGTGTCCTGTGTGTTATAGTTATCTAGGGGCAGTGTCCTATGTGTTATAGTTATCTAGGAGAAGTGTCCTGTGTGTTATAGTTATCTAGGGGCAGTGTCCTATGTGTTATAGTTATCTAGAGGAAGTGTCCTGTGTGACAGTCATCTAGGGGCAGTGTCCTGTGTTATAGTTATCTAGGGGCAGTGTCCTGTGTGTTAAAGTTATCTAGGGGCAGTGTCCTATGTGTTATAGTTATCTAGGGGCAGTGTCCTGTATGTTAAAGTTATCTAGGGGCAGTGTCCTATGTGTTATAGTTATCTAGGGGCAGTGTCCTATGTGTTATAGTCATCTAGGGGAAGTGTCCTGTGTGACATAGCTTATCAACGGGAAGTGTCCTGTGTGACATAGCTTATCAATGGGAAGTGTCCTGTGTGTTTTAGTTATATAGGGGGTCTTATATGTATCAGTTAAATAGAAGTGTTTTCTCATCCAGGGGGTGACAGCACATAAATAGTGTAATTGACTACAACCCAGCACTCATGTCTTTGAATGCCTTTTCAGCTGGGGATTTCCCTCGAAATCATTACCCTGCGCTTTCAGGTAAACCGTGCCTAGAATGGGTGTGTTCTTGGAAATAAAAGTGCTGGATGTGATATTGGCTGCAAGATCCATCCAGTGCTATTACTCTGGAAATATGAGGCTAGCACCATATACCCATAAGCTCTAAAATAAGAGTCCTTGACTTGGTTTAGTTTGTTTACTTAAATATCTGGAGGCTCAGGCACTCTGCCACACTGACATTTTTTAAAATTTTCCTATAATTTTCAAGGTAGCATGTATTTTAAAAAACAGTCGGCACTGGGTGGATGATGTGGTAAGCGTCACGCCGGCTGCCTTTACTTCCCAGTAATGTACCTGATACCCATTTAAATCTGCTGTTGACTAACAGCTGTTTTTCTGACACTTGATATTTAGTGCAAATTGTGCTGTATATTGCAATTTACTGAGACATCTGCTAACTGTTACATCTATCTGCCCTGTTTTTACTGAGATCCTCCCATTTACAAAAGCCTCTTGTTTATTAAATGTTATTATTAAATGTATGAAAATAAGCGGTTTATGAAACTGATCCTATTATAACACCTCCAGGCCGATGCAGAAGCTTTTGTAGCTGTCTTCAAGGAAGTGAACCAGAAATCTAAAGCCAAAGTGGAAGATTTCAGTGATGAACTTTTGCATGAATTTGCTTACTCAGCTCTAGGGAATCTGTGCCCTGTGCAAGCTTTTATTGGTGGTGTCGCTGCCCAAGAGGTCATGAAGGCAAGTGTCTGTATGTGATTAGTGTACAGTTCTTTTGTCACCTCCTGAAAGTGAACGACTTTGGCAGGAGAGAGAATCTGTATATATTTTTTCCTTCATGAGTCCAAATGACGATCTGTGTTTGCTTATCTACGGTCTCATTAACTTTTATGAGTTAAAACATGCTTTCCGTTTGTTTTTTAAAGAGGCATTGCATTCACATTGCTTTTTTTTTCCAGTAGGGAAAAGGTAAGCTTAATTCGGGTTTCAGAGAGCGTCAAAATCCACTTTGGTACTTCTCAAGTAGAATCTCCTGTCTCATTGTCTTTATAAAAGGTATGTTTAAAAAACTGCATGTATAATAAAAATGTATGTTGGAGAGAGGAAAGCGTGGATGTACATTTCTGTATTGGTTGGAGAGGGGAAATTATGGGTGAATGTGTATATCTATGTATTCATTGGAGAAAGTAAAGCATTGGTGTACATCTCAGTATTCATTAGAGAAAATTATGGGTGAGTGATGCACCCAAGAAAATATGGGAGGCAGATGTAAGTTGTTCTATAGTGACTTTTGTATTGTTTTATGTAACAGGCATGCAGTGGAAAGTTCACTCCCTTGTTCCAGCATCTCTACTTTGATGCTCTGGAGTGTTTGCCCAAAGACAAGACTGTACTCACAGAGGAAGCTTGTGCACAAGTAGGTGTTGTAGTGGTGGCAGTTGTTTTATTGTCTTCACTGTATATTTGTAGTTTCTCTGTCACACATAGAGCAAACATACAATTATCAACTGGAATGGTTCCCTATCAGTTATATTAGTCATGTGTTGAGATTTTTGTCATTCCACAGTGCAAGGCTATGAAGATTCTTCTGTCATCTTACTTTATATATTGTTTCATCAATCTGTTCAGTTGTGTGTTCTCTCTTAAATATCTGAGGTAAGCTATCCTTACATCTTAGCCTGTTTCAGAAATTAAAACAAAAGAAAATATTCAGAGCATTAAGACTCAGAGAATGGAAATAACAGAGCGACACATAACAAACAGCAGACATAAAGTATACAGCAGTATATCAGAGAGATGGGAGTGGCCGTGGCGTTGGCATCTAGATGCCTGCCTGTGGATCAGAAGGTTATAGGTTCGTGTCCTGATGGAGCCAGACTTTTTTTCAAAAATTGACCTTGACTCGGCTAAGCCATGAGTGGGTACCAGGTGCAGTCCTGGGAAGTAAAGGCGGCCGGTGTGATGCTGATCACATCACCCACCAAGTGCTGATTGATAAACTTTTGGAGTAACAACAGTTGATGTCACAGATGGAACTGATAATTATTATCTGTACAAAACTGTCTTTTGAACTGACTTGTGTGGCTGTACTAAGTGTTCTCTTATCCAATGTTTTCCTCAGAAAAATACACGCTACGATGGCCAGATTGTGGTGTTCGGTGACCACTTCCAAGATGTCCTGCAGAACTTGCGTTATTTCTTGGTTGGTGCAGGCGCCCTCGGCTGTGAGATGTTGAAAAACTGGGCCATGATGGGGCTTGGGTCTGGAGAACGTGGCCAGGTGTTCATCACAGATATGGATCACATTGAGAAGTCAAATCTCAACCGACAGTTTTTGTTTAGGCCTTCGGATGTAGATGTATGTAACTTGTGTAGGCCAATTTCTTGCATAAAATTAGTTAATTTTGTACATTTTTGTTTGAAGTTTAAGAACAGTTTCAGCAATGTTAATGTCAACCCGAATGGGTTCCGCAGCCGCTCTGTTGAAAGAACTAGAATAGACAAATTGTCCCATAATATCCCTGTATGGGTTCCTGTTCCAATGCCTCTTTTGGGGGAAGACAAGAATAGTCCCATTGTCCCATAATATCCCTGTATGGGTTCCTGTTCCAGGGACCCCTTTTGGGGGAAGACTAGAATAGACCCATTGCCCCATAATATCCCTGTATGGGTTGAATACTAGGATAGACCATCTGCCTCGTGTTGTAAGAGTCGGCTAATTAGGGAATTGAGTGAATTTGCCTGACAAGTGAGGAATAAAACAAGCAAGATCTGTTTTTACAGCAGGTGAACACAAAGAAAACAGAAGATGAGAAATAAACTCTAGTAGTTTTGTTTGATGAAGTTACACAGATTAGCCCGGAGGGCAGGAATTGGCACAATAACACATCCTAACTGATACAAATTCCTGCCCTAGATATGTGGTAATCTATACATATGGCTCTGTGTTCAGAAGCAAGAAAAATGCATGAGGGTTTATTGCACAAGTAAATTGACATTGCTTAGTGCAACAAAGACTAGGTTATACTACAAAGTTTGATAATGGAGTTGGGGGTACTGGCCTAATCTTTGTGCTGACAGAACCAGCTGCACACACATGGTGTGATTATAACAAACCCACAAAGCATCCTGAAGAAGACTTGCTGCTTGCAGAGTGGCAAGCATTGCTTCATAGGTCTCTGCTGGCATCATTTTGATCTTTTTTCCTGGGAGTGCAGGAACAGGGAAAGGAACAGACAGATAGATTGGCTGTTGCTGAACCTCTGAATAGTGAACTGATGCATGGCCAAGGCTGTTTGGTCAGTTAACACTTTGGAAGTGCAGAGATAGTGAACTGATGCATGGCCAAGGCTGTTTGGTCAGTTAACACTTTGGAAGTGCAGAGATAGTGAACTGATGCATGGCCAAGGCTGTTTGGTCAGTTAACACTTTGGAAGTGCAGAGATAGTGAACTGTTGCATGGCCAAGGCTGTTTGGTAAGTTAACACTTTGGAAGTGCAGAGATAGTGAACTGATGCATGGCCAAGGCTGTTTGGTAAGTTAACACTTTGGAAGTGCAGAGATAGTGAACTGATGCATGGCCAAGGCTGTTTGGTCAGTTAACACTTTGGAAGTGCAGAGATAGTGAACTGATGCATGGCCAAGGCTGTTTGGCCAGTTAACACTTTGGAAGTGCGACTAGATCATTATGGTCTAGAGTGAATAGTGCAGCGGGCAGTGACCATGGGATCTGGTTGATACCCAGCACTCTGAGAAAAGGCAAGAAGGACACAGACTGCTTCTGGTACCACTGGAACTCTGTACTGGCTGCTGAAAATGGAGCAGTTAAGGCAATGTACCGAAGGTTGCAATAAAGGTTCTTGCCAGCTTGAAGCTCTTCAGTTTCTTATAGAGCTTGCAGAATATCATTCTAAGAATTTATTATTCATTGAAATAAATAGTTCCCTGGCATGTGTATGTGTATATTGTGTAAGCAAATTGTAAACATTGGTGACTATCTACAGAAACCCAAATCTTCAACAGCAGCAAGAGCAGCACGAGAGATGAACCCCAGTATTAAGATCGATGCCAGAGAAGACAGAGTTGGGCCAGACACAGAGAATGTCTTCACTGACCAGTTCTTTGAGGGATTGGATGGCGTGGCCAATGCTCTGGACAACATTGATGCAAGTAGGTTACAGTTTGATGTATACTCTGGCAGGGCTCGGGATGAAGCTGTAGACATTTTTTATAATAAGATTGAGCAACTAAATAAAAAATAAAAATAAACAAACAAAAAAAATTGCTTTTGAATAAGTTAACAAATCTATGATGGCTGCTACTGATCAGAATGCTTCACAGGCTAAAAAACAGCCCAGCATGTCTGTTTTCTGTGTCCAGTAGTTTGAGGAAAATGTCTGTTTTCTGTGTCCAGTAGTTTGAGGAAAATGTCTGTTTTCTGTGTCCAGTAGTTTGAAGAAAATGTCTGTTTTCTGTGTCCAGTAATTTGAGGACAAGATGAGTTAGTTGTGCACCCTTTACAGGATATTTCAGAATCAGTCTGAACATTTTGGAGCTGTTGTGTTAACTGGGCAATTTTATATTCAGTAGTTTGTCATTGCTTTCTGACCAGTCTCCTTGAAACTGCTGTAGATACCAACATACAGTTGTTTAAATCACCTGTAGCTGTAATCGAACCAGGCACCTCAGAATTACAAAGCATGTTGGCAATACTTAAGCAACAGACGCTGACAACAAAAACGTATGGAAAAAAATTAGTCTATCAACAGATAAAAGGAAAACCGCTGGACTTGAACTATTCTTTCACCAGATTTGAAAATATCAGTACCTACGCCAGCTTTATTTGAGGGCAAACTAATCTGCAGGTAACGACGACCTTGTTTGTTCGGGTAACTTTTGCAGCAGTTGTAATCTTTCATTTGGCTACAAGTCACCAAAAGGGAAAGTGTCTGTTGGAATGAGAACAATGTAGAGACTCCCTGCAACTCAAGTGCCATCTCTGTGGCAATTGTTGCCAGCTTTTTCCCCTCTGACAAGTTGAGAAGGCAGCAGGAAGTACCAGACTGATACTGGGCTTTGTTTTATAGACATTTTAGGATGTAACTAAGTGATGATTCAGCATAGCAGATGTAGGCTGGCTGGGGTTAGGCCTAGATTGGCAATGTTTCTGCACAGGTTCTAGTTGTCATTGTCAGTATTCTAGCCACTACCTAGAAGAAAGTCAACTTTCAGTTGGTCACATTAGAGCACATCAGGCTTACAATGCTCGGCCTAGGTTTTTCAAGATCAATCAGCACTTGGTCAAAAAGGTGGGCAACATCATGCTGACCACTTTTACTTCCCAGGACATTACCTGGGAGCCAAGGTCTGTTTTTTTAAAATAAATACTGGTTGGCAGGTGAGTGTCTTTAACTGCTTCACTATCATGGCTCCCAAGTTGACTGTTGCCTTTAAATATATTTGTAGGTTGACATCTGGAAGTATATGAAGAATAATGCATCATTCTGCCCATGTTTCCTTGTATCTTGTCAGTGTACATACATTCATTAGTTGATGCATGAGGCACTGATTTGTGATGTTGTTTCAGAATAGGAGGCTGTGCTGCCAAATGGAGGTTATGTACAAGACAACAATTCAGGTTCAGTAATCAGCAGTAACATGATTTAATTAAAAAAAAAATACTCTAAAATCAGTACGGCTGTGTGGTTGAGCCAGCAACATAGTGTTGGTTGTAAATAATTTATCTCCTGATACAATAAAATCCTTGTCAGCCTGGAATATTTTAAGATGCTGACTTTGACAATTGTCTGCTTGCAGGAATGTACATGGACAGGAGGTGTGTCTATTATTGTAAGCCTCTCCTGGAATCTGGCACTCTAGGAACCAAGGGCAATGTTCAGGTAATATCTTCTTGAAAATTACAAATATATTGTCTGCTTTTTCCTACCTGAAAATATTGTATATTATTTCTACCTGCAAACTGTCCCATGTCATGGGCTGCTTACATGTATGTTAACTGTTCCTACATAAAGAATTAAATGTATAAGACTTCTATATTTTCCTATCCTTTCCCTTTTTGTGTGTGTGGAGTCTGCTATAATTGTGTACATCCCCCTCCCCTTTCCAGTCTCTGTCTGACTACAGCAGCGTAACTCCTCATATACAAATTGTTTAATAATGCTTATTTTGTTGTGAGGAAACAAAGGGGGATAAATCAATGCAGTTGTATTGAGAATGAAAATAATGCTGCTTGTATTGTGTTGTATTAAGCTGGTGCTGATTTGTAGTGTTGTTGTTTCAGGTGGTGATCCCACATTTGACAGAGTCCTACTCATCATCCCAGGACCCTCCAGAGAAGAGTATACCTTCATGTACAGTCAAGAATTTCCCTAATGCTATTGAACACACTTTGCAGGTACAGTGTCACAGTTATCAAGATTTGTTTGTTAAACTGTCACATACAGCAGTTATAACCTTAGGTTGGGTTAAACTGTCACACACAGCAGAGTTAAAACCTTAGGTTGGGTTAAACTGTCACATACAGCAGAGTTATAACCTTAGGTTGGGTTAAACTGTCACATACAGCAGAGTTATAACCTTAGGTTGGGTTAAACTGTCACACAGCAGATTTATAACCTTTGGTTGTGTTCAACTGTCACACACAGCAGATTTATAACCTTAGGTTGGTTTCAGAATATCCATTTTTGGATTTAATATAAGTGCGCGCACACACAGAGCTGTGTTGTCATGGTGATAGGGGCCCCATTTTAGGAGAAAGGGGGGGGGGGGGTGACAAAAGGCCCACTGCTCTTTAACGAGCATGTTTAAAAGGTGTCTAATTAAGCTTATGCTGAAAGTGCAGTTGACACCAATCTTCAGTAACACAGAAAGCGTTTCCCATGAAATTCAGTGTCACAACATGTAGTTGGCTCACAGAACTGGATTTCATTTTTTACCTTGTTTGTTGTCTCATCCCGTTTCTGGTTGGGGTGGAGTTGAAACCCCAACCTTCCACTGGATACTCGGGAGAACAGGGTCCACCACACGAAGGTGAGGCAGGCTTGAGCAAGAGATGTCAAGAGACAGTCTTGTATTGTGCATTGTTGCTCCACAAGACTCCTGGGCCTCAGATGGCTATGTGCATATGAGCGTGTATGTATGTACATACGTTTGTATGTATGTATGTTTATATGTATGTACATATGTACGTAAATATGTATATATGTATGTAAAAAGCAGTTATTGCCTTTATGTACCTAGTAACAGTGTATAGTGAGTGTTGTCTTGGGAATTGCAATGACACCAATCAATGCACCTCTTGTTACAGTGTATAGTGAGTATTGTCTTGGGAATTGCAATAACACCAATCAATGCACCTCTTGTTACAGTGTATAGTGAGTGTTGTCTTGGGAATTGCAATGACACCAATCAATGCACCTCTTGTTACAGTGTATACTGTGTTGTCTTGGGAATTGCAATAACACCAATCAATGCACCTCTTGTTACAGTGTATACTGTGTTGTCTTGGGAATTGCAATAACACCAATCAATGCACCTCTTGTTACAGTGTATAGTGAGTGTTGTCTTGGGAATTGCAATAACACCAATCAATGGACCTCTTGTTACAGTGTATACTGTGTTGTCTTGGGAATTGCAATAACACCAATCAATGCACCTCTTGTTACAGTGGGCTCGGGAAGAATTTATGAAAGAATTCCAGGAAGATCCAGAAACGGCCAGTCAGTATATCACTGATGCCAAGTTCATGGAGCGGACACTCAAGCTGCAGGGATCACAGCCGGTAAGTGCAGTGTCCTGGGTCAATCAGTTAGCTTTACAATCTGTGTGACTGTGCAGTGTCCTGGGTCAATCAGTTAGCTTTACAATCTGTGTGACTGTGCAGTGTCCTGGGTCAATCAGTTAGCTTTACAATCTGTGTGACTGTGCAGTGTCCTGTGTCAATCAGTTAGCTTTACAATCTGTGTGACTGTGCAGTGTCCTGGGTCAATCAGTTAGCTTTACAATCTGTGTGACTGTGCAGTGTCCTGGGTCAATCAGTTAGCTTTACAATCTGTGTGACTGTGCAGTGTCCTGGGTCAATCAGTTTGCTTTACAATCTGTGTGACAGCAGTGTCCTGGGTCAATCAGTTAGCTTTACAATCTGTGTGACTGTGCAGTGTCCTGGGTCAATCAGTTAGCTTTACAATCTGTGTGACTGTGCAGTGTCCTGGGTCAATCAGTTAGCTTTACAATCTGTGTGACTGTGCAGTGTCCTGTGTCAATCAGTTAGCTTTACAATCTGTGTGACTGTGCAGTGTCCTGGGTCAATCAGTTAGCTTTACAATCTGTGTGACTGTGCAGTGTCCTGGGTCAATCAGTTAGCTTTACAATCTGTGTGACTGTGCAGTGTCCTGGGTCAATCAGTTTGCTTTACAATCTGTGTGACAGCAGTGTCCTGGGTCAATCAGTTAGCTTTACAATCTGTGTGACAGCAGTGTCCTGGGTCAGTCAGTTACCTTTACAATCTGTGTGACAGAATTTTTCAGTAAAATATAGTTATCCTGGGATTATAATTTGTCTCCAACTTGGGGTAGGGGGTGTTCAAAAAATGCAGCAATTATAAAATTGAGATTATTTGTAATTATAATAATCTGGATTTTCAGCATGACAGTCATTAAAACCAAACATTGTTGTGTCATTATTAGACAATGTGGATTTTAGAACAGCGGTCAAGAGGCTAGATACAGGGTGTAGATCAGCGGTCGAGAGGTTAGATACAGGGTGTATAACAGCAGTCAGGAGGTTAGATACAGGGCGTACAGCGGTCCAGAGGTTAGATACAGGGAGTATAACAGCAGTCAAGAGGTTAGATACAGGGCGTACAGCGGTCAAGAGGTTAGATACAGGGCGTAGATCAGCGGTCAAGAGGTTAGATACAGGGCTTAGATCAGCGGTCAAGAGGTTAGATACAGGGCTTAGATCAGCGGTCAAGAGGTTAGATACAGGGCTTAGATCAGCGGTCAAGAGGTTAGATACAGGGCTTAGATCAGCGGTCAAGAGGTTAGATACAGGGCTTAGATCAGCGGTCAAGAGGTTAGATACAGGGCTTAGATCAGCGGTCAAGAGGTTAGATACAGGGCTTAGATCAGCGGTCAAGAGGTTAGATACAGGGCTTAGATCAGCGGTCAAGAGGTTAGATACAGGGCTTAGATCAGCGGTCAAGAGGTTAGATACAGGGCTTAGATCAGCGGTCAAGAGGTTAGATACAGGGCTTAGATCAGCGGTCAAGAGGTTAGATACAGGGCTTAGATCAGCGGTCAAGAGGTTAGATACAGGGTGTAGAACAGCGGTCAAGCGGTTAGATACAGGGCATAGAACAGTGGTCAAGAGGTTAGATACAGGGCGTACAGCGGTGTGGCGGGTAACTTCGCTTTAACTAGCGAATGCACTATGTGCACTTTACAGAGGAAATTACAAACAGTGAGTCATCATAAAGTCTTATAGTAACCCCAGCCTTGCTGGTTAAATGAGAGGATTCGGGGTTTGCCCACATCTTATTCCCTGCTGTAATTAAGATTGTATATTTAAATGTTCTAAGTTCACTGACAATGTTTACAGTTAAAATGAAACTTCATAAAACTGTAGGAACATTAAAACTAACATTTATTCAGAATTGGATATCAAAATCCTGTTATACAAGGTTAGTGAACACTGTCCACTTAGCTGTGGCTTAGGTTTCTGTTGTCAGCTTCTGACTAAGCTTCGGAAACACATCAGGCAGGCCGAATCTTCCAGTCCAGTCCAGACAATCGGGTATCTGCAGCTAAGCTTAGGATCTACCACCTGGACTACAATCTGGAACTAGAACAATAGAACAGTCCTTATACAAACAGTCAGGAAGGTTCTAACTGGAGACAACAATACCTCCAGTCTTTAAACTGTTACACTACACACATATATATAGAGTAGGATAGTTACAGGTGTTCACATTCTACTGGTATAGAATGGGAATGTATACAGAACATGGTCCATAATCCTGATGGGGAAATATTTAGGAAACCACTTTCATGAATACTCTCAAGAACAAGAGTTTACAGCACACAAAAAGAAAGGACATTCCTCAGTGTAAATTGTTCTGATGTCTGCACACTAGTACTCCTTTGAAGGGTTAACATGCTTACACACACAGACATACACAGTCATATTTCACAATATTCTCATTTTAACCACATGGGTTCACATCACAATGAATGAGAAACAGGGAGTGAGTTTACTAAGGCCAGAAACTCATAACAGGTGCTTTGCACTGTTTGAAAATAAATGGGATTGACATATCTCCATCAATATACTGGGTGCTGGGATAGATGTCAAAATACAATCATAGATGACAATGGGCTTTCCATCTGTCACAGTATTAACATAAAATATACAACACTCACTCCAGTTTAAATCTAAATCCACACATGTGCTAATCTTATTCAGCAGAGTTTAGAAGTGGTGAGGGGTGAAATATACTTATTACATTTGTAAGGCCAGCTGCTGTAAAACTGAAATGTATTCCTAGTAATAGGGAAATATATCTACAACAATAATAATTACAAGCAGGGGCCATACATCTCTTTTCTGCTTCTTCTTCTCTGACAGTGTGAATATTAAATTCAGCCTCACTGTGTTATTCACTTTTCAAGCTCTTAAACCAGTCTCAGAATTATCTGGACTAAATCTAAATTAAAGCCATACAGTGATTTATCAAGCTAATATCACCATGAGGTAAAAATCAACTTAGTAGGGATTAGGTATAATGAATATACACTTCATTCTTATTTTTAATTGTCTCACTAAGCTGGAAACAGGAACTGGCTGAGATTTTACATGAAGACATAATTATCAGTTAATTAATATAAGTATAATAATTAAAAATACCAATGCACGTTTCTAGTAGCAAAAAAACATTAATTAAATCATCAAATAGCTCATATGTTTGCATACATGTACATACTAGATCATCAACGTGGTTAGTAAGGATAAAGAAATTTATCATGGTTTAAGCCATGTGGGGCATCAAATTTCAGAATTTAACCTGTGAAATTAATTCAGAGGAATAAGCAGCAAAACATCAAATTAAACTTATTCTTTTAACTCACCCCTGGCAGGGAATTCAAACAGAAAATTGGACCACAGGCGGACTAAGAACTTTAGTCTGAACCGGTCAATTTCTGAATTGAAAAGGGAACAGGAAGTCTTTAAAAAGGAGGAAGTTACTCTTCAGTTCCCCTTGACTAATCATCTCATTCGCCTTTATTACCTTTCAACTCTTTAATTATAATTTTGCTCCAATGAAGCATTAAGAAAGGGGTAAGACATTTCTTAATTAATCCAGTGTTATTATGCTAATTAAAAGCAATAGGAAAATGTTTAGAACTTTGGTAATATTATTATCTAAACAAAGCACTTTTTAAAAGGGCAGAAACAGCTGTCCAGACCAGCTCGTCACAAGCGGTCAAGAGGTTAGATACAGGGTGTAGAACAGTGGTCAAGAGGTTAGATACAGGGCGTAGAACAGCGGTCAAGAGGTTAGATACAGGGCATAGAACAGCGGTCAAGAGGTTAGATACAGGGCATAGAACAGCGGTCAAGAGGTTAGATACAGGGCGTACAGCGGTCAAGAGGCTAGATACAGGGCGTAGATCAGCGGTCAAGAGGTTAGATACAGGGCGTAGATTAGCGGTCAAGAGGTTAGATACAGGGCGTACAGCGGTCAAGAGGTTAGATACAGGGCGTAGATCAGCGGTCAAGAGGTTAGATACAGGGCTTAGATCAGCGGTCAAGAGGTTAGATACAGGGCTTAGATCAGCGGTCACGAGGTTAGATACAGGGCTTAGATCAGCGGTCAAGAGGTTAGATACAGGGCTTAGATCAGCGGTCAAGAGGTTAGATACAGGGCTTAGATCAGCGGTCAAGAGGTTAGATACAGGGCTTAGATCAGCGGTCAAGAGGTTAGATACAGGGCTTAGAACAGCGGTCAAGAGGTTAGATACAGGGCGTAGAACAGCGGTCAAGAGGTTAGATACAGGGTGTAGAACAGCGGTCAAGAGGTTAGATACAGAGCATAGAACGGCGGTTTAGAGGTTAGATACAGGGCTTAGATCAGCGGTCAAGAGGTTAGATACAGGGCATAGATCGGCGGTCAAGAGGTTAGATACAGGGCATAGATCGGCGGTCAAGAGGTTAGATACAGGGCATAGAATGGCGGTCAAGAGGTTAGATACAGGGCGTAGATCAGCGGTCAAGAGGTTAGATACAGGGCGTAGAACATCAGCGGTCAAGAGGTTAGATACAGGGCGTAGAACATCAGCGGTCAAGAGGTTAGATACAGGGCATAGAACAGCGGTCAAGAGGTTAGATACAGGGCATAGAACAGCGGTCAAGAGGTTAGATACAGGGCATAGAACAGCGGTCTAATGGTTAGATACAGAGCAAAGAACGAGAGTTTTGATACAGGGAGTAGAATGGCGGTCTAGTTTTGATACAGGAAGTAGAGCGGCAGTCTAGAGGTTTATACAGGGCATAGAACGGTGGTCTCGAGTTTTGATACAGGTAGTAGAATGGCGGTCTAGAGTTTTGATACAGGTAGTAGAATGGCGGTCTAGAGTTTTGATACAGAGCAAAGAACAGTGGTCTAGAGTTTTGATACAGAGCAAAGAACAGTGGTCTAGAGTTTTGATACAGAGCAAAGAACAGTGGTCTAGAGTTTTGATACAGAGCAAAGAACAGTGGTCTAGAGTTTTGATACAGAGCAAAGAACAGTGGTCTAGAGTTTTGATACAGGGCATAGTACGGCGGTCTAGAGTTTTGATACAGGGCATAGAACGGTGGTCACCCACATTCTGTAACTCTGGAGGAGACTAGACATCCCCAAGGGTGGGTGGCGGTTATAAAACAGGCATATAGAAAAGCCCAGTATGAGGTAGAAGGGTAAAGTATAATAACTGTTTCTTATTCATATCATTTTTAAAGTTGAAAAATACACCTGTGCCTCCCCTTATTTAAAAAAAAAAGTTTTTGTATATTTGGAAAAGAATATGCCTAGTGTGCTAATTTACAAGATCATTGTAAATGTTGACATAATTTCCTGTGGTTTGAAAACACATGATTGGAATATCCAGTTTAAATTTAAAAAAAAATGTAAAAATTGTTTGACTGCCTAGAAAGTTTTCAGTCAGATAACTTAACATGGTTTGTTCCCAGCTGGAGGTAATTGAAACTGTCAAGCGTGTCCTGGTGGATGAAAGACCACATTCCTTTGAGGATTGCGTGAAACTTGCCCGTCAAGCATTTGCTAAACATTATACCAACAGGATCAAACAGTTGCTCTTCAACTTCCCCCCAGATCAGGTTAGTTGACTTGTAAAGTTGTGGTTTTTGTTGCAGTTTGTTCATTGTTGTTGCAGTTTTGCTTTTGAGAGTTATTGCATTTTTGTTCTTTTTGGGTGCTTCTGTTTGTTATTCCTGTTCTACCGTATTCTTATTGGGCACTTCATGCCCTCAGATGTTGCATGATATTGAGAAACTATTAGTTCAATGTGTTAACACATGGCTGTGAATCCTGGACAAATAATAAAGCCAAACAGTTACTTGAGGCTTCATATGAAAATCATTAAAATTATTTGGACAACCAAAAGGAGCAACCGTATGTTTTGAAAGAGGTCAGGGTATGAAGACAGCTTATCACAAACATCAGAATGAGACAGTTGTCATTTGTTGTTGTTATGAGAAGAACTGGAATATGTTGTGACCACTGGAGAGATCTGTGGAAAAATAAAGAAAAATGCCAGAAGATTCTTTACAGCCTTTGGTCATGATGTAAGCTCTTGAACTGATACATGTATCAGGTTGTGGAGAGGCATGATCGCCCCTGCTAGTCAAGGCATTTGATATTTAGTTCCCTGGTGTTGGGAAGCAAATTGTGGGGGGGGGGGGGGGGGGGTAGGTGTTGGGAAGTACATCACATCTTAGTCCTTGTGTCTGATGACAGTCAATTGTTCACAGGATAAATGAATTCACTGCACTAACTCTACTGAAACAATTGTGTCAGACAGGATAAATGAATTCACTGCACTAACTACTGAAACAATTGTGTCGGACAGGATAAATGAATTCACTGCACTAACTCTACTGAAACAGTTGTGTCAGACAGGATAAATGAATTCACTGCACTAACTCTACTGAAACAATTGTGTCGGACAGGATAAATAAATTCACTGCACTAACTCTACTGAAACAGTTGTGTCAGACAGGATAAATGAATTCACTGCTTTAACTCTACTGAAACAGTTGTGTCAGACAGGATAAAGGAATTCACTGCACTAACTACGGAAACAATTGTCGGACGGGATAAATGAATTCATTGCACTAACTCTACTGAAACAATTGTGTCGGACAGGATAAATGAATTCACTGCACTAACTCTACTGAAACAATTGTGTCGGACAGGATAAATGAATTCACTGCACTAACTCTACTGAAACAATTGTGTCGGACAGGATAAATGAATTCACTGCACTAACTCTACTGAAACAATTGTGTCAGACAGGATAAATGAATTCACTGCACTAACTCTACTGAAACAATTGTGTCGGACAGGATAAATGAATTCACTGCACTAACTCTACTGAAACAATTGTGTCGGACAGGATAAATGAATTCACTGCACTAACTCTACTGAAACAATTGTCGGACAGGATAAATGAATTCACTGCACTAACTCTACTGAAACAATTGTGTCGGACAGGATAAATGAATTCACTGCACTAACTCTACTGAAACAATTGTGTCGGACAGGATAAGTGAATTCACTGCACTAACTCTACTGAAACAATTGTGTCGGACAGGATAAATGAATTCACTGCACTAACTCTACTGAAACAATTGTGTCAGACAGGATAAATGAATTCACTGCACTAACTCTACTGAAACAATTGTGTCGGACAGGATAAATGAATTCACTGCACTAACTCTACTGAAACAATTGTGTCGGACAGGATAAATGAATTCACTGCACTAACTCTACTGAAACAATTGTCGGACAGGATAAATGAATTCACTGCACTAACTCTACTGAAACAATTGTGTCGGACAGGATAAATGAATTCACTGCACTAACTCTACTGAAACAATTGTGTCGGACAGGATAAATGAATTCACTGCACTAACTTTACTGAAACAATTGTGTCGGACAGGATAAATGAATTCACTGCACTAACTCTACTGAAACAATTGTGTCAGACAGGATAAATGAATTCACTGCACTAACTCTACTGAAACAATTGTCGGACAATGCAGGGTTAATTTTTGAAGACACAGAAAGTCTCTCATACTTCAGTGGTGATTTTGCGCCCCCCCCCCCCCCTCCTCTTTCAAATGTAAAGTATTTTCTGTTGTATCACTTGTGCTTCTGTGAATATTATTTGTATTCTGATTGTTTCCAAGTGTCAAAAAGGTTACTGCTGTCAACTGTACATATGTTCAAACATAGCTTGGAGCTTAGCCGGGCTAAATTGGCAGGTTGTTTTATTTTATTTTCAGAAAACCAGTACCGGTGCTCCATTCTGGTCTGGCCCAAAGCGTTGTCCTACACCCATTGAATTTGACTCATCAAAGGTGGGTGCTGTATGTCAATTGCCTTCCAGAGTTTTTCTGTTTGCAAAGCTGTTTGTTTTCTTAATGTTGGGTTTGGTTCTAGGCTTGGTTAAGAATGTATTTCCCTGTTGCTCAGTTTAATTCTGCTTCTAGGCTTGGGTGGTTTGTTGTCCTTTGATGTCAATAATAGAAAGGACAAATTTCCAGGGAATGAAATAGGAAAAACACATTGCGGTGTACCTTCAAAGACTTTACTTTGGATCGGCAAGGTCAAAGAAATATAAGTTTGGTCAAGGATGCCATCATGCCACAATTTTGTCTCCTTAGTTTTGGACCACACTTAATGGATATGGCCAATATTTTTCCATTCACCTGTAATTGTCAGTATGATTGCCAGTAAATATTTTAGACTGGATTGACATGGCAGCCCAGAAGAAATAAAACCCAAATCATGAACAGAAAAAAGGTTTGTAATATAGAAAATATAGGATCTTAAAATTTTTTTTTTATAGCAGTAAAGAAAGCATGGACTTTCATGTGCTGCCTAGGAGCTGTTTCTCCACTTGGAGCAATTACACATAACTCTTGTTTTCTCCTGACATTGGTGGGACTTTGTGTTTTTTTCTGATACAGGTGTAGCTCAGTTAACTCTTATGGTTATTATAAAAAGGACCCTTCAGACATAATATAGTTCTAGACCAATTGCCACTTGGTGGGTGAATGTCAGTGACATGCCACTTGGTGGGTGAATGTCAGTGACATGCCATTTGGTGGGTGAATGTCAGTGACATGCCACTTGGTGGGTGAATGTCAGTGTCATGCCACTTGGTGGCTGAATGTCAGTGACATGCCACTTGGTGGGTGAATGTCAGTGTCATGCCACTTGGTGGGTGAATGTCAGTGTCATGCCACTTGGTGGGTGAATGTCAGTGTCATGCCACTTGGTGGGTGAATGTCAGTGTCATGCCACTTGGTGGGTGATGTCAGTGTCATGCCACTTGGTGGGTGAATGTCAGTGACATGCCACTTGGTGGGTGAATGTCTTCATGTCTTTGCTCTAACACCCCCTCCCCACCTCCCTGTTTTCCTATTGTGGTTCTGTGATTAGCCCTGCTTCATTAATTGCACATTCAATTTTTGTGTATAAGTAAAGGCCATGAGAAGTGAGTGGGAGGCTGTTGAATTTCAGTTTGAATCTCTAGTAATAGTTTTATGTCAGAGCATTGTGTGTGTGTATTGTAAATGAATGTATATGGTCTGTCAGCACACAAATGCCACTGACAGATGATCTGTCACTAACTTATTTTGTTGCACTGAACTTTGGCTTCAGGATCTGCATATGGACTTCATTGTGTCAGTGGCAAACTTGAAGGCAGCAATCTATGGCATCCCCCAAGTTAGGGACAGACAGAAAATCAAAGCAATCGTGGACAAAATTGTGGTACCTGAGTTCTCGCCCAGGGCTGGGGTCAAAATAGAGGTCACAGAAAGTGAAGCTGCAGCTTCATCTAATAATCCAGAAACCCCAGGTTTGTGCTTCAGTTTGTATTGATTGATGGATGGTTGCATGGTGTGGGGGCAGGGAACCACGGATGGTTGCATGGTGTGGGGGCAGGGAACCACGGGTGGTTGCATGGTGTGGGGGCAGGGAACCACAGATGGTTGCATGGTGTGGGGGCAGGGAACCACAGATGGTTGCATGGTGTGGGGGCAGGGAACCACGGATGGTTGCATGGTGCGGGGACAGGGAACCATGGATGGTTGCATGGTGTGGGGGACAAAGGGAACCATGGATGGTTGCATGGTGTGGGGGCAGGGAACCATGGATGGTTGCATGGTGTGGGGGACAAAGGGAACCATGGATGGTTGCATGGTGTGGGGGACAAAGGGAACCATGAATGGTTGGTGTGGGGGACAAAGGGAGCCATGCATGGTGTGGGGGACAAAGGGAACCATGGATGGTTGCATGGTGTGGGGGACAAAGGGAACCATGGATGGTTGCATGGTTTGGGGGACAGAGGGGACCATGGATGGTTGCATGGTGTGGGGGACAAAGGGAACCATGGATGGTTGCATGGTGTGGGGGACAAAGGGAACCATGGATGGTTGCATGGTGTGGGGGGACAAAGGGAACCATGAATGGTTGCATGGTGTGGGGACAGGGAACCATGGATGGATGGTTGTGTGGTGTGGGGGACAAAGGGAACCATGGATGGTTGTGTGGTGTGGGGGACAAAGGGAACCATGGATGGTTGTGTGGGGACAAATGGGAACCATGGATGGTTGTGTGGTGTGGTGTGGGGACAAATGGAACCATGGATGGTTGTGTGGTGTGGTGTGGGGACAAATGGAACCATGGATGGTTGTGTGGTGTGGGGACAAATCGAACCATGGATGGTTGTGTGGTGTGGGGACAAATCGAACCATGGATGGTTGTGTGGTGTGGGGACAAATCGAACCATGGATGGTTGTGTAGTCTGGAGGAAAAGGGAACCATGGATGGTTGTGTGGTGTGGAGAAAAAAGGGAACCATGGATGTTTGTGTGTTGTGGAGAAAAAGGGAACCATCGACGGTTGTTTTGCGGAGAAAAAGGGAACCATGGATGGTTGTGTGGGGACAAAAGGAACCATGAATGGATGTAGACTACATCTGGGGACCAGGGAACAAGTGGAGTGGTTGTATTGTCTTCAACTCTGGGGACATAAGGTAACCACAGGTAGCAGGAATGTAGTTTTTAATACTTGTAATATATGAAGTTCTGTGTATATCAATATTTAATCAGAAATGCACACACTGACACCATGTTGGTATGGGAAGGCAGGCTGAACCTGTTGGCCAGGAGCTTTATTTGTAGATAACTAGCAATGTTTTTCACCAGATAATGTTTGAAATGTTCTTTTCACCAAGTAGATATGTTTGAAATGTTCTTTTCACCAAAAACATCTGTTTGAAATGTTCTATTGACCAAATAGGTGACATTTGAAATGTTTTGTTGACCAAATAGGCGACATTTGAAATGTTTTGTTGACCAAATAGGCGACATTTGAAATGTTTTGTTGACCAAGTAGACATCTGTTTCAAAAGTTCTGTTCAAGTAGAGATATAATTACAGATATTATATAAACCAAGTAGAGGTATGTTTTAAATGTTCTATTCATCAAGTAGAGATCTGATTTAAATGTTCTGTTCACCACATAAAGATATGTTTGAAGTGTTCTATAGGAAGAATTTCTGACTGACTAGTTGACATTGTTTTTGTGTGTCTAGCGTCTGAAGACTTGCTGAACCTGCAAAAGTCTCTGCCGCCTCCGGCATCACTGTCAGATCTGAAGATAACACCTCAAGAGTTTGAGAAAGATGATGACACCAACTTCCACATGGACTTTATTGTGTCAGCCTCCAATCTCAGGGCCAACAACTACAGTATACCTGAAGCTGACAGACTGAAGGTGAGTTTGTGCATTCGCTTTTCTTGTCGGCTCTTTGCAGCAAACACACCATACCACGCCTGATTGGCTGTTATCCCTTTTGCCCCGGAAACACACAAACCAAAATAGTCAAATCTTCTTATAATCCCAACAAATTTTTGTGCATGTTGCAAATAAAAGTTATCTACATTTTTCTAAAATACAGTTGTACCTCAGTATATGTTTGTTTTGGTAGACATCCTGTTTAGCTGTGAACAATTTTGTTTAGTATACAGCCTTTGTTTGCAATAAGACTAGCATGCCAGAACTTGTGTGAGTCACAATCACTCTTGTCACTGTAGACTATCCTGCTTTACCTCTCATTATTCAAGGAAATGTTGGCGAAATGTATAAATGTCCAAAACTTTGCAGAGAAGTACCAGCCAACAAAACCAAAAGAAAGCTGTAAAGATTTTCTGGAATGACTGGACAGTGTCACGTTTCCCAAACACTCTGGGGAGAATGCAGAAGCAAAGTTCTTTGGACAGATTAAGTCAAAAGTCAAACATGGTGAGCCTCAACCAGAGTAAAAAGACAGGGAAACAAAACAAAAGAAATAACAAACACCAGAATTTTAGATTCCTGAAGCTTTATTGTAAGGGGACTTCCAAACATCTCCTCCTCCCTTCTCAGCACCATCCAAGTAGGCACACAGCTCCTTCTCCCTTTTCAGCACCATCCTATTTGGCACACAACTCCTTCTCCCTTCTCAGCACCATCCTAGTTGGCACACAACTCCTTCTCCCTTCTCAGCACCATCCTAGTTGGCACACAACTCCTTCTCCCTTCTCAGCACCATCCTAGTTGGCACACAACTCCTCTTCAGCAAGGTCAAGAGAGGTTACATTGTATTTATTTTATCTAATTGCTTTTGTATATATGTATTTTAATATTTAGCAGTGTTAGTAATTTTATACAACCCCTATCAGTGGAATCTCTTCCCCTTCCCCTTCTCATAGAAAGGGATTAATCATTTTCCATTTTCCCTGTATGGAATAGATCCACTGCCCCCCACCCCCCCTCCACAAGCATCTAATAGGCTACTGGATAGTTTGAATATTCAAGTGGGAATACACATTCTGTGTTAGGCACATATGTATAGTGTACTTACTCTTTAGTATTTCTTGAGAGACATGTGGTGCAAGGAGGCTGGTTGTGTTTGTAATTCCTTTTTTGTTATTACAGAGCAAACTGATTGCTGGCCGAATTATTCCAGCCATCGCAACCACTACCAGCATGGTTGTAGGTCTAGTCTGCATTGAACTCATAAAGGTGGGCTGTTGTGTTCTTTCTTACACATCTTTTTCTTTTCTACGTGTCTTTCTTCTACAGGTCTTTGCCTGCCCATGTCTTCTACAAAAAATTGTAAAACAGTATCGTAAATGTCTGTGATATCTATCCATACTTTTCTAGCTCAACAGAGAACACTCTGGGTTTTGTTGTCTCTGCACTAAGTGTACCCAAGCAAATGATGGACCTTGTTTAAAATCGGCCACTGGAACAATTTCAGACATCATAGGCATCGTATAAAGAGACGAGCAAGGCTCACAGAAGGGGGCACATCTGTGAAGGCATCTTTATATCTGTGTTTGTTGTATCCATCTTCTCCTCTTACATTTAGAAGGGGAAGTTGGCACATTTTGTTGTGTACATCTAGACTGGGATACGGCAGTTAGCACATTGTGTTGTGGTATACATCTAGACTGGGATACGGCAGTTAGCACATTGTGTTGTGGTATACATCTAGACTGGGATATGGCAGTTGGCACATTGTGTTGTATACATCTAGACTGGGATATGGCAGTTGGCACATTGTGTTGTGGTGTACATCTAGACTGGGATACGGCAGTTAGCACATTGTGTTTTGTACATCTAGACTGGGATATGGCAGTTAGCACATTGTGTTGTGTACATCTAGACTGGGATACGGCAGTTAGCACATTGTGTTGTGGTATACATCTAGACTGGGATATGGCAGTTAGCACATTGTGTTGTGGTATACATCTAGACTGGGATATGGCAGTTGGCACATTGTGTTGTATACATCTAGACTTGGATATGGCAGTTGGCACATTGTGTTGTGGTGTACATCTAGACTGGGATACGGCAGTTAGCACATTGTGTTTTGTACATCTAGACTGGGATATGGCAGTTAGCACATTGTGTTGTGTACATCTAGACTGGGATACGGCAGTTAGCATATTGTGTGGTGTACATCTAGACTGGGATATGTGTGTCTTTCTGCACATTGTGTTGTGGTATACATCTAGACTGGGATATGGCAGTTAGCACATTGTGTTGTGGTATACATCTAGACTGGGATATGGCAGTTGGCACATTGTGTTGTATACATCTAGACTGGGATACGGCAGTTAGCACATTGTGTTTTGTACATCTAGACTGGGATATGGCAGTTGGCACATTGTGTTGTATACATCTAGACTGGGATATGGCAGTTGGCACATTGTGTTGTGGTGTACATCTAGACTGGGATACGGCAGTTAGCACATTGTGTTGTGGTATACATCTAGACTGGGATATGGCAGTTGGCACATTGTGTTGTATACATCTAGACTGGGATATGGCAGTTGGCACATTGTGTTGTATACATCTAGACTGGGATATGGCAGTTGGCACATTGTGTTGTGGTGTACATCTAGACTGGGATACGGCAGTTAGCACATTGTTTTGTACATCTAGACTGGGATACGGCAGTTGGCACATTGTGTTGTATACATCTAGACTGGGATATGGCAGTTGGCACATTGTGTTGTGGTGTACATCTAGACTGGGATACGGCAGTTAGCACATTGTGTTGTGGTATACATCTAGACTGGGATATGGCAGTTAGCACATTGTGTTGTGTACATCTAGACTGGGATACGGCAGTTAGCATATTGTGTGGTGTACATCTAGACTGGGATATGTGTGTCTTTCTGCTGCTCAGCTCATCTTATTAGTCAGTGTCAGTCAGCTGGGAGGTTCTTCTTCCTGTGTGCCCTCACAAGCTGTAAGCTCCAGTCAAAGTTCTGGTTGTTCGTCCACTTCTGGACTGGAGTCTTGTTCTAGAACACATCCTTCTGACAGATCTATCCGTCTTAGGTGTATGCAGACTGTTGGTGTCTCACCTCTTAGGCTGATGCAAAACCGGTGCAATTTGTTGTCTTCTGTGTTCAGATGTAACTTTTTTTTAGTACATTTAAAATGATTCTTGTCATCTGTTAGCTCACATTTGATTGGTTATTTGTTCAACAAGAGATCCCAAACTTTTGTTTTCAGCTGGCTCAGGGACACAAGAACATCGAATCTTACAAAAATGGCTTTGCAAACCTGGCCCTGCCGTTCTTTGCCTTCTCTGAACCTGTGCCACCAACCAAAAACAAGGTATGTCCACAGCATTTCTTTCTTCATTATTGAAGTGATATAATTGTGTTGTGCCTGATTAGTCAACCTGTGACATTTGAGCCTTTTTGGCCAACACATGTGACTTCACCGGGCTAGCCGTCCCGGTTGGTTTCCTAGGAAATGGCCTAGCCTTATTTGAATGGTGGCCTTATTCCTTTATCTGCAGGTGTTGCTCCTGAAGAACTTATCCAGGGCAACTGCATGTAGACAGGTCTGTCCTCAAGGGAAGACGAGGCAGATCATGTGAATTCCTAACCATTCAAGATGCTTCCATAAATGCAGAGCTGAAACACAAGGCTGTGGTCATGTCCTGTACGTGACTGCTTCACCTCACATCTGTACGCTGAGCTTCCTCATCATGGTCTAGGGCTGAGTCTCAGCAGTTGGCAGTGAAGTGGCTGATTGCAACACCCCGACACCTGACTGACCAATATTTGAGTCTAATCTGCAGTTTAGTAAAACCTTCTAAGAACATACATTTGAACCAAAATTTCTCTTATAGCAGGATATTCTGACAGCGGGCTTCACTCGTGTTTTTCATGGTCGCTATCACCCATGCCCTGGGGATGGGTTGATAAGAGCCAGAGAATTTCTGGGCACTGCATCTCTGAGGGTCACCAGCCCCAAGATCTCCTGACCAGCAACCATCTGTAATAATGCTCTGAAGGTTTCAAAACCCTACGCCAGTTTTTGAATGTTTATGAATTCTATTAGAAAACCAGTTGTTAATGAAAAATATATCCAAGCACCCTTGGTAATGGGAGACAGTAATGCCCCGGACTACTGGTCAGGAAAGTGTTAAAAGAAAGTCAGGTTGTCCATAGCACATCAGTAAAGGCTTCTGGCTTTGAGATAATCACATTTTGCTGGTTACAGACAGCCTGCTGAAGAATATCATATTGTGTTTAGTATGAAAGTACACAATCTTTTCCAGACATTTTACTTGGGGAGAAATGTTACTTGTAGTCTATCTGTGCTTGGGCTTTAATGGTTCTGGTTTAAGAGAAAACTGTAAAAGAAGATAGTAGGGCTTTTGCCTCGACTACAAGTAGTCTGACTATGGAGGTGATGGTGATAACAAAAGTAATGATGTGGCTAGAAGCACAGCAGTTTTCCCATGTGTGCTTTCTAAGTGATCCTATGAGCATACTTAAGAAGATAAAGAAAGACAGGATGGATTTTAAGCAAATGGAGTCACTGAGAAAATCTTGTCTGATAGGAATCATTTGTTGCCTGGACACTCAGGAGTAAGAGGGAATGAACAGGCAGATTAGCTTGCTGGCAGAGCAATGCTAGGTAAAAAAAAAAACAGTGGTCTGAGCCAACATTCTGAATGCAAGGAGGCAGAATGAGGATGATTTAGGAGACGACAGTGATTTGGCAACACTTTAAAGAAAGACTACAAGAGCTTCTGGTCAAAAGAAATGTCACCAAACATAAACACTAATACAGGTAGACAAAAAAGAATAGTAAATCACCACAGAACTGGTGTTATCAGTCGCCACAATCTGGGAGACATATCAGTGGCCACAATCTGGGAGACATATCAGTGGCCACAATCTGGGAGACATACGGAAGATGGGATCTGAGTACTAATGGACTTGTCACATGTGTATCTATCTATACTGTGTTATTGAATTGTGCCATCTCTCCCCCAGTACTGTCTATATATTTACTTTTAGACTGCTTGTTTAAATTGTATTTAATGAATGTTAGGTTAACCTTCTTTCTTTCTCTTGCCCCAGTACTATGACACAGAGTTTACCCTCTGGGACAGATTTGAAGTTCAAGGTGACATGACACTCCGAGAATTTCTGGAATACTTCCAGGTAATGTTTTCCATTCAATAATACCAGATAAATTAACCTTGTTAGTTTTGTCATTCGATTTGAAAAAAAACCAAACTTTTTTAAAAATTGGTTTAATTATGATTGATGTAATATTAAAATAGCCAGACCTGCGTGTCTGTCATTGAACTTGTTGTTTTTATTGTTTTCAGAACAAGTACAAGCTAGAGATCACTATGTTGTCTCAGGGAGTCTGTATGCTGTACTCATTCTTCATGCAGCCTGCCAAACGACAGGAGAGACTCGACTTGCCGTACGTGCTCTTTATATCACGTTGTATTGTCTGTGCTCACCTGTTGTAGCAGTCGTGGCTCTGTAGTCGCTGGCGTGCTTGCTTTAGGGCATATGTTCAAATCTCAAGATGGATTTTTGAAAATAGAGATGGGACTGCCAGGTCAAGTCGGCCTAAAAACGGATGCTAGGAAATGTGGAAAGTACAAGCAGCCATGAGATATTAACCACATCACCGGCGTGTTGGTTAGGGCTCACTGCCTTAAGACATCAATACTTCTTTGCGCTCGGTTTCGTATGCTCAGATCAGACCATCAGGTGGGTTACCTCTATGAACTCACATGTCAGCTGCAGGTCCTTCATGGTTCCCTATAGCTTGCTCTGCACACTTTGCTCTTGAGGCTAGGTGTTTCGAAGTTGTGTGTGCTCAGGTGTTTGTGGTCCTATTTGACAGGCACACTGTGGGGGCTATAGTCCTTATTTTATGCATGTGGTAGTTGAGCCTGCAGTGTCCTGTTCCTAGATGGAAAATTGTATGTGGCTTTCTGTTGAGTCTGCTGATGTTTCTTGTGGATGTTTACTGTTAGTTTGTTCTCTCCACAATTCCTTGTATTTTCCCTTAATTGTTCTGATTTCTGGTAACAACAATGGATGGGTGTGTTGTTTCTTTGTTCCATTTTTAAGAAGTCTGTCAGCTAACTCATTATAATTTATACCTTTACTGTACTCTTTTAAAATCTTGATTAACTTTCTATATATGAACTGACATTTCTGCATTTATTATATGTGAATTGACATTTCTGCAGATTGTCGGAAGTGGTGAAGAAAGTCTCCAAAAAGAAGATCCCGCCGCACGTCCAGGCTCTGGTGTTAGAGATCTGCTGCAATGACGAGGATGGAGAAGATGTTGAAGTGCCCTATGTCAAATACAATCTGCCCAAATAGTGCTGTAGTATCATCATCACCACCACGGGGAATTGGCTGCCACAGGCTTTTTTGTTTTTCAATGTTATGTTTATTTGCTAGTGATGTTGTTTGTGAAACTGCAAGGAGAGGGGGTGTGTTGTGAAATAGCATTTGTGTCTGTGTTCACCACCTGCTGTTTGTTATATGTCCAATGTCCTCACCAGGAAAATTGGCTGGTGTGCAAGTATCGGAGACATCCCAGAGAATGAGTCTTGAGGCAGAAACATTTAAATGAGGAAAGACATCGTTTGAAGATGATAAACTGTTGCTTATGCTGACCTTGGAATTCTAGTTAACACGTGAACCTCCATTTAGAAAAAGCATTCTTTTAAAGGCCTTCATATGTATTGACCTTAAGAAAGACAATAGGGGCTTTTGAGCTGAAATGTTATAGACATTTCTCCGAATACCGTAGGCAAAGAAGAGATGAAATACTACCATTTCAAAAGATCTGAACACCAAGGAAGATTGAAACAGCATCTTGTCTCAAAATCTAAAATGTTTTGATCATATCAATGATGGGAGAGCTGCCGAGAGACCCTAGTTTTTCAGGCAGATGATAGCGATGTTCTGCAAAGGACCTGCTACACGATGATGATGATGTATTTGACTGAAAATTTTCAGAGATACTGTTTACTACTATTATATTTATTGAAAATTTATTTGGCACTTGGTTTGGAAAAATTGTTTTGGTCATCTTTTGGGTAGTTTAATGTCAGATCTGGGATGACTTTAAACATTACCGTCTCGTAAACTTAAATCTGCGGCCTGTTGGCCTCTCGGCTGATTTTGTCCTGCTAGCACTTGCTTCTTTTGAAAATCCAGATGTTTTTTCCTGCTGCATTAGCCTGGTTGTGTTGTGGTTTACAAGCTAGGCAGTGATATCCACAGCTTTCAGCTCCTCTGTTTACATACTCACTGCCTTCTGTGTCATTTAGTGCTGACCAGTTCTGATGCAGATGTCCTGCACACTGTGATGCTAGACTCTCTTGGTGCCTCCCTGCCCTGCTAACTGTCCCCACTGTCTACTGGTTCTCCTGTTGTATTCTCTGGACATGCCACAGCGTGTTGGCTTCCTCCCAGTTGACTTTTCATCTTTTATGTGTTCATGGCATTCAAATTCTCCAGCGAAACACCTGTGCAGCTTCCTTTGATTCATGTGCTGATTGTCCATGATTGACTTCTGCACAAGTTAGCTACTTCATGAAATTAAAAAGATATTATGCTCTAGTTACGTGGCTCTAGATTGTGACTTTGTAAACACTTTATCATTACTCAACAGAACAACTTGCAAGTGTATAATTGTAAGTTGTCATCTGTATATTTTTGTTCGTTTACAATTTCAAACTCCAGAGATAAAATCAAGTCTGTGAAGAAACTCAAGAGCAGGTAGTTGTTCTCTTGAAGACTAATAGCCAGTTTTCCAAGTGTCTGATTCTGTGAGACTTCCAACACCTGACATCATTTTGTTGATTCTAGAAAAGAGATCTCACGTCAGGAGATGAGGAAGTCATTGGAGACAGCAGTTTGTTGATTGACCACTTCAATTTGAAGCCAGCGAATGCGTTCACTGAATATTTGAGGAATGTGGGTTCAAATCTTATTTTAGGGAATGTGTATGAAAAAAAAAAAAAAACACACACACCCGGGGTACGTGTTTCTTGCAGTTGTCTTGCAGAGTGAAAGGGGTTTCTATTGATATGTTGTATTTGACTTTTGTTTTGACAAGCTGAACATTGTCGTGACACTGACCTCTCATGTGTTCAAAAGAAATAAATTTCATCTGCTAACATGTCTCGTTCTCTATTGTTGTCTTTGAATCTAAAATGTTTTTTTTTTTTTTTTTTTGGCTAGTAAGATTTTTCAGCTTGATGATTTTTACGTTACATACATTTTATCACATCAGTCAGCAAGTCTTTTAGAGAACGTCGCTCTCTTCACGGCGCGCCTGAAAGTATCCCTTTGCCTCCTAGCCAGCTCTCCAGCCCCATGTGCTTTTCAATGCCAATGAATCTTCGTCTTGTATCCATCTTCGCGGTGGTCGACCCCTGCCTTGCTTTCCATCACCATCTTTTCCAAGCCACCATGAGGCCAAAATTCTTCAACTTTCGGGACAGGATGATGATTAGCCAGTTCTCCTTGATGTTCAACTCGTTCAGAATGTTTTTCCTTTTACTGATCCGTGGTATTCTAAGAATTTTTCATTTCAATTCAAAAGCTCCAATCTTTTTCCTTAGTGACTCAGCCCAAGTAAGTTGTCACAGGAAAAATCCACGATCTCAAGATTTTTACTTTAACTGATTTAAATAATGCGGATACAAACAATACATTGCACAATTTATTGCCAGGCATATTTTGCTGTATCTTATCAGGTGCGTCAACATAAAATAAAGCACAAAACTGAATAAATTCAACTGAAATGCGAATAGTTTCTTCCAATACATTGTCTCTATTTCATGGCCGCCGGAAGCTCACCGTAGTCACGTGACTTACCAGGGTAACTTCAAATGTACGACAAATTCCGTCGGCTTACAAAGGAGGTTTTTGATTTTTATTATGGCTTCTGCGATTCTCAAAAGTCTCCTGTTCGGAGTGTGGAAGAAAGAAGTGTCTGTGTCAATTATGTGTTTGGAATTAAGTAGATGCCGTACTGTGGAAGAAGCGGGTTCTTTCCTCTTGACTGGTCTCAACATCTCATCTGTTGTATGGAGCCATTTGGGTATGTGCTCTGCCACTCTATTTCCAAGCTGTTTTCCGTTCAGGAGTTGGTATTATTTTGGATCCAAAGAACTCAAAAACCGTTGAATTATTTTGGACAATATCAGATAGAGTACTATTAGTAAAACTTCGCGGCAGACCTTTTGACAGATTTATGCCCCAACAGCAGATAGTTCAGAGGAAGATATTGACGCATTTTATGACGAGTTAGACATGGCTGTTGATCAATGCAAAAATTGTGAAGTAACAATGGTACTTGATTTCAACGCGAAAGTAGGAAGTGAAAAAGTGTACGGAATAACGGGTGGCTATGGACTAGGAGAAAAGAATGAGAGGTGACAGATTAATAGCATGGGCTGAGTCCTGCAGCTTGATAATAGGTAACGTCATCACCTCGATAAGTCAGTTGGATATACTCGTAGTTTGGGTACTGTAATTTCGTGCAGGGTGGGGTGCAATGACGTTTAATGAAACCTATGGGGTACCCATTCAGTAGTATTACTAGTAAAGTTGATTTGAGTTTTAATTTCTACAGCCAGTGTGTCTTCGGTGCAAATCTTTCTGGCCCGGTTGAACAAGCTTCTGACTACGCCACGTAGGTACGAAACTGTAAAGGTTTAGATACTGGCCGATCCATGTTTCTTTTCGGTCCACTGATCTTTGGATACTGCCATCCTCTCTACGTGCAAAAAGTACATCAAGGAATGGTAAAGTGCCGTCATGTTCGTGTTGTAATGATAATGTGATGTTTCTGTGTGACTGGTTCATTGTGGTATGGAACGCAGTGGCTTGCTGTTTGTCAGCAGTTAATATTAGAATGTCATCTACATATTGACGGTACAAAAACAAATCTCTGATGTGAGCAGATCTGCAATTTTCGAGATGTGCCATGAAGATGTCGGCCAAGATGGGACCTAGTGGGCTACTCCGTCAATTTGGCGGTAGCTCGTTTCAAGGAAATTAAATTAAATCAATTTACTGCTTTGCCATAGGTTCTTCGTGCTATTTAATCTCTACATTGCTAGTGCAAGTCTTCTTCTGACTTCTTTTGAGCAGTCGCCATTGTTGTTCACTAAAGAGCCCAAGTATTCAAAATCTTTTACATTTTCTATTTCTTCATTTTCACTTGTGATACGTGGTTGGTGTGCTGTATTTACTGAGGATGAAATTTTTTTTTTTTAAATTCAGAAACAGATTCACTTCTTTGCTGTTTTTTGGCGGCCAGAATTAATTTTTCTAAACCTTGTATACACTGTTGGAAAGGAGAACTGTGTCGTCTGCATATCTGAGTTCTGGGATAGGATTACCTCCAATTTTTAGTGGACCAAAGCTCTCGCATGCCTCATCGCTAATTGTGTTTCTCGTAACATTTTCAGCATATATGTTAAAGAGGGAGGGTGAAAGAATGCAGCCCTGTCTCACTCCTTTCTGCACTTCAACCCATTCTGATGTTTCACCAGCTACTCTGACCACTGCTTGTTGTTCGTGGTATAGCGATTCCATTAAGTGAACCAGATGGTTTGGAAATCTCATGCCTCTCATTATTTGCTATAGTAGTTTATGGTGCTGCATACAATCAAATGCCTTGTGTGTAGTATGAAACAAGTATGAAGATCTATCTATCGTGTATTCTCTACACTTCTCTAGGATGATTCTCATATTGAAAATAGTCTCTTGTTCCCCTGTCAGGTCTAAAGCACGCTTGTGTTTCTTGTAGTTCCTATTCCAATTTATTCTCAATCCTCCTCAGAATCATATGCAGACGGATTTTTCTGGCATGACTAATTAAGAGCTATAGTTCGATAATTGTTACACAATTTTAGATTTCTTTTTTTTGGGGGGGAGGGATATATTTACGGATCTTTTCCACGCTTTGGGCCGTTCAGCACGGTTCCAGATTTGCACACATAATTAGTGCATCATGGTATATAGAATGACGCTGGCCTCTCCTCCAAACTCTGCTGGTATGTCGTCACATCCCAGAAATATGCCTGATTTCAGGTTCTTTATTGCTATTATTACTTCCTCTTCATGCATTTTATAAACTCAATTCTGGATTGGTTAATTTAATCTGGCTACACATCAGTGCCCCCCCCCCCCCCTTTTCATGGTTTGTGATTGAAAACCATAAAAATGGAACTACAAATTTTTTTTAAGGATCATAAAATTATTAAATGCTTCACAAAGCTGCTCGTCTGAGAGTTTACAGCAACTTATGTGGGAAGTCTGTCTGTGTGGTATCTAAGAGCCAGGTTTTGGGA